AGGATGACAAGGATGGGATGAAATACCTCGTTGGTCAACTTTTCGTCACCTGTCCCATCTGTACTCTTCCACAGGTGCAACCCTTTTATGACTTTTTACTCACTTAGCAAAAGAAGGCCAGCAGTGGCCTTGGTTCTCATGGGGATAAGTGTAAACATGGGCCTTTCTGCATACCAATCCTACTGATACTTCAGTAGGAACTATAAACATTGAGAGTTATCAGGTCTGAAACGCAGACAGTGTCTGAAAAACATGTAGCTGTACTTTCAGAAAGTGCAGTTACTTAGAAGGGATTTAACTGAAAGAAAAACTCCTGAAAGGAGAAATAGCCCTGTTTTAGCCAAACCAGGACATTCCACCCCTTATTCCATACCATTTATGTCATGCTCAGGTCACTACTATTTCTCTATCCTCAGAAGAGAGTTGCCCTTCAAAAGAAGATGCTAATAGGACCATAAATGAATTCAAAGTTGTAAAGAAGACTTTTACACCAACTGAGTAATTATTTTCTCAATGCTAGCTTGAAATCCTTTCAAAAGTGACAGTCTTTTGCCATTTCCAACCACCAAACTGGAAAACTATGGTTGATTAGCGCTTGATCTACACCTGGGGATCCTTCTCGAGGAGAGAGAAAAAAAAAAATCACCTGTCAAAAAATAGCAGACAACCTCAACTGCAAGTTATCGAGGTTTTTCATCATCTGTTTTATAACCAAGTTCCTGCAACAACAAGAAACAATATGGAATTGTTATCACATTTCAACTGCCACAGAAAAAACACCCAAGAGTCATGACTATCGTGATTATCGAACACAGAAGAGGAAAGACACTTAAGATAGGTAAGGACACAGCACTGAGAAAATATGCAAGGTAGTTCTCTTTATCTCTAAGGCAGACTTTGATATTTCTGTGTTCTAGAAGGAATCTCGACAAAGGAGATATCAATGTACTGAGTAGTTAAAGAAAAATTAATCTTAGAGGAAAAATGCAGAGTAAAACCTCTAACTGTAGTTTAGAAATCAAGTATCACTCCCAGTTAAGACAGGGGAGTTCACAGAAAGTAACACAGATGAACAAACACAAACAGAACTGCTGAAACTACAGGATTTCTTTGCCGTCTCGTTGTCAGTTTCAATACAGGACTCACCACAGTACAACACACCAACTAGTTTTGAAGAGAAACTACCAAGAGAATAAAATTTTAGCAAGCCTTAGGATTAAACAGCTTGCAGTATAAGGTTCAGAATCACTCCTGCAGTAAACAAGAACCATGAGCACATCATGCAGAATTACGTTCCAAAATATCCAGGTTGGGGAAAAGAGGAAGAGTAGGGTCTTCCCTGATGGTTCTACAGGAAACCACAAACAGATGACCTGTTTGCAGTAACCAGGTCACTGACATCAGAAATTGGAACCCAACCTCCCCGCCACCCGCCTCATGCAGGAGCAGACCAACCCAACTTAGGAAATAGCACTTTTTAATTTCCCTCCCACCATATAATTCAAGAAAACTCCTACAAGTGCGTTTCTTGGTTTGATCCAAAGGTGCTGAATCATAAAATACAAAAAAGCCCCAAACGCCCAACACATCTATCTACAGTGGTAGGAGCTGCTTCTCCACAATATGCAATGACAAGACTTTTCCACTTCAGTTTTACATGCTCCTAAGATGGGGTAAGTCGTTCTTCAATTTCTGCTAAGGTCCAGTATCTCAAGTGTGAACAGGATCAATTTGTAACTGTTCACTTGGCTTACGCATGGAGTTGGTACGTTTAGCATTTCAGAAGCTGCAGGGACAGCAGAGAAATGAGAGAGCAGCAGCACCTAGTAGTCATCCCAGAACTTCAAGGACGAGAGCCACACGCCCTGCACTGCAGGCCATCCTTCCAAGAAATAAAGGTAACTCTTGAACTGGGCTAATGAGAAGCATAAATATGAGAGCTGGTGTTTGTCAAGTAAAGCTAACATTCCTCAGTCTTTTGTCACCGTGAAGATGTTACAGGTTGCTCCGGGACAAACCCCAGTTGTCTCTAAAGACAACAGTATTTTACGGACTGATGATGTTCAAGCCTAGATCTCATTTTTCTTTTTTCATACCCCCATCCACAGTCTCTTCAATTGTAGCACTGCAGACACTCTCTTGCAGAAACTTACCTATAACTGCATTTTGGTGCTCAGACTCACCCTCAGAAGCACAGACTCCATGTAAGGCTAAGTCCAAAGTTAGGCATTATGAATATCCCCTTAAGTGTAAATCTATTAAGATACACCGTGTGGCACTTCCTTTCTGCCTAACTTTTCAGTTTCTGCTCAGTGGAAAGTCTGGAGGCCAGACAGAACAAGGTAGAGCAAGCAAAGAAATCTCAGCCAACCCACAGGAAGGCAGGAAGCTGAAAAACTGAGCAGGGAGGAGCCTGGATGCCAAAAAAGCAATTCACTATAGATTGGCCCTTTGCCTGAAAGACAGAAGGAGGAACACCCAGTGTCTGCACTGGCACAAGCTACATACCAGAAAACTGAAATTCAATCCATGCCAAGTTACACTTTGAAAAGCTAAAAGTACGTAGGCCAGTGAAAACAAAATTAGATAGGAGTTCAGAGTATGAAAAATTAATAAAACAAGTTTGGTTCCGCATGAAAGTTAGCTTAGAAAGACAAACTGAAAGTGAAACGGGGATTAACAAAATTTCAATGCCAAGAATCAGATGGGAATAACAGTTGCTGAGCTGTTCAAGAGAGTGTTCAGGAGAACCAAGAAAACACAATATGGATCAAGTCATCTCCATTTGCACTGCATCTTTCGAAGTGTACTTTAAGTAGTAATTATTCTGAACATAGCAAAGACGTAACCACCGAGATACACTACACATTCCCACAATCCTCTGAAAATGCTACAATGGCCATTGCCTCTTCACCTTTTAAAGCTAGATTTATCCTTTTAAATTATGTTTTAAAATAAGTAAATAAAGAGCTGTCGACAGCCTGCAAACATCTGCTTCTTCAGGTTTATAGTCACATAGCACTTGTGCTCAGGAGAAAGCTAACTCCTAAGACGTAGTAGGTTTCATGCAGTTCTCAAATTGCAGATCCTTCTTAGTGCTTGTTCGAGGGACAAAGAAAACAAGGAACAACACAGCACACGCATGTGCACGCACACAGAAAACACTACCAATAGTGCCATTCTACAACTGACACCATTAAAGATAAATTAAACACCCATTTAAAGACTAACCATAACTTTTAAATATCACTGTATTGCTGCATTTCTATGAGTGTATTTTAATATATCAAAGGCTTACCGAAAAGCTAAGTATCACTCAACATGTTCAGGTTGATTTTCCTCTCTGTTCACACCCTTTCCTTCTAAGTTATCAGTTTTTACACTGCATTTTCTGATTAACATACTCATACAGCCCTTTTCAGAAGATGCTGGGTGAGAGAAGGTGTGAAGTGCAAGAGAGAAATATCTATGCAAGACACTGAACATAAGGAAGAACACATAAGAGCAGTTAAATTGTTAAAACTAACTATGCACTGCAATATAGTGAAGTGCACAAGATCAAACTACTGAGCAATAAATTTCCTTCTTTTTCTGTTTCCTCATGTGTGTGGTTTTCGGTTTTTATTTGCAGGAAAGAAAAAAACATTACAGGTCTTCATCCTAAAGGACACCACTGTTTTCAGTTTCCCTTCATTGTTAAGGCTGGTCCTTTTAACACACCAATTTAACACTTCAAAACAGGCATCTTTTGATTCAAGCTACCTGTCCACATCAAGTAAGCATCTACCTTAATGTAACCACCAGAATATTCAGGATAGCTGGGGTGTCCTTTTTGAAATGTAAGATACTACTACTTACACTTTATATGATGTACAGCCTAGACACCGTCTAGCTGACGACAGCTACTGACCTTCCAATGGAATCTGTCCTTCCTATGAGCCTTATGCTTGCATCTCTTCATACAGAAGTGAAAAAGAAACCTTCCACACACATCAGGGGACAGAAAGGGGTAGAGGAAGAGAACATTTGAACAGCTGCATGGTATACCTCCTCTTCCTGTAACTCAGAGTTGACACACCTTTGCTCAAATCCAGAGAGTCAGGATAACACTTGAAGGAAACATACCATTTTTACACAGACATTTCCTTCCAGGCCTATGCATAACAGGATGAAACACGGCAATACAAGCTATTCCACTGTAACTAACTGCAGCTATTTCTACATCTAATGAAACAAGAGGACTATATCTAATTGCATTGGATCACCCAGTTAATATGAAGACAAGAAAAGCAGCTCCGTATCATCACCACCAAGAGGAAAATTTAGCACTTCTAGCTCCCTGTTCTGCACAAGTATTTCATCAAATGCAAAACACTCAACACCCCCGTAACATAGTCAAGGCTTCAGGTCTGCAAAACTAATTTCAGCAGCACTGCATTCCAACAGTATCTGTCTTCTCAGTGCACTAGGCACTCTGATGCCTGGCACGGGTGGGGAGTGGAAGGTGGAGAAGGAAAAAACAAAAAGTAAAAAGGCAGTACTACATGTCCTCTAAACACCTTTTACTCACCTAAGAAGAAAGGTTCAGTATCTGCATTTGGTACTATGACTGTGAAAGTTCAGATTGCCAGAGCTGTGATGCACTTCTAATGCACTCTTTTAACTGTCTCATCCTGATTAGATCTTAATTATGCATTAAAAAAAAAAAAAAATTCAAAATTACTCAAACTTCCACAGTCATCTAAACAGATTTCCGCACATCCTCCTGTTCTTTCTTCTCCTCAAGGAAAGTCACCAGAAGAGATACTTGAACTTAACCTCTAGTATTTAAAAACAAAAAAAACCCGAACAAACAAAAAGAGCCACCCAAACAAAAAAGCAGCTTGTACTTGTGCTAGCTATATAAACAAGTAAAGAAACTTTAAAATACACCACTCTTCAAAGACCAGCCATTCCTGAGAGATGCCAGTTGTCTACATTTTATTGTATAAAATTCAGTCAATAACCTTGACATGCCCCACACTGCCACTTAAATACTTTCAATAAAAATAGCCTAACAGTTTTCCTGCAGTGTCATTCTGCTTATTCATTAATTACCATCAATTTCAAATCAACATGCAGTCACATCCCAATAATAGAGACACCTATGTACAGTCACTTTCAGAACAGTCCTTTAAGTGTATTTAAAGCCGCACAGCTTGAAGACCAGCAAAAATCCCATATTTAAGCCAAGTCTATATATATTTGCCCAGTAACCTGTGCCACAACTAGTACAACTAAGCAGTGCACTACACTGACATGCAACTACTGATTCGCCAACCTCACATCAAAACTGTTTTTGTCAGGAAAAAGTGTATGTTGAACAGTTTTTAAACACACAAGTCACACTGCTAATTCCGAGGCACCCAAATGAAAGCTTATTTCTTGCCAAAGCACTTGCTAGAGAACAGATTTGTTTGTCTGACTACTGAAGGACAGATTTTATCCTTATATCAGTATTTTCACATGGCAGTAATGGCTTTTTCAGCACCATGACCCAACTAACATTCCTTGCAATGGACTCCAGTACCAGCAGGTAGCCTAACAAAGGAGACTTTTGTTTCTACAGAATTCACGTAAGGCATCATAGTATTACACTGTTTTGGTTGCTCAGTACTCCAGCCTTCAAATTTTTCATGCCACTAGAGTATCAGAATTACAGCAGAATCTCTGAAAGTACTTAAACAGCTTTATTGCTACAAGTAATTAAATCTTTATAGTGTATGGTTAAAGCAGTAACCGCACAGTAAGAAACACTTCAGAATTTCCATTCTGATTATTAAGCATGAAGCTCCATGCATCCTTCAAATACCTGAAAAGTCCAATTTGATAGAAATAGATAGATACTCACATATAAAACCAATCATATTTAACATACATTTAGAGAAGTTCACAAAAATCAAACTACAGCTACCAACATCTGTAGTGTCACCTCTGACAATTCCAGAAACAACTGTTCTTGTAAAATTCAAGAAGTATTTCTAACACAAGCCACTTTCTACTCTGCATCCTCCAGCGCCTTACAATCAGCTGAAGGAAGAAGGCGAGTGAAAGCCATCATGCGGTTTCTAGAAGGAGACACTGACACCTCTACAATGGCAAAATTGTCTGAATTATTCCATGCCAAAAGAACTGCCACCAAACCTTACCATCAAGAAGTGAAAAAAACCTAAATACAAAACAAAAAAAACCCAAACCAAACAAACCACCAACTTAGACTACTTGTAAGTTACTCAATTCAAGTAGAACAGGTAGCTGCTTTTTTTTTTTTCCAAGAACACTGAAAATCCAAAACACACTTCACCATACTACATGGGGAACGATCAAAGAATGCCTACAGACATGTTTTTGACACTATCCTTTCATAAACAAAACACTAATTGACACCCCCTTCTCCCTCAAAGCTTAAACCCTGTGAATAATTAACCTGAAAACAAGGCCCAAGTAATAGCAAAAACAAACTCATGTAAGAAGTCCAACAAAACTGAAACAGGAGGATTCTGCAGTTTAGCTCAGCCTGTCACTCTGACACCTTCACTTATACTCCTAGAACAGTCACATTAACTCCAGTTCCTATTAACTGTAATTTCAAAGCTAAGAATCTACATACAAATATCTAAATAATAGTTATTATTTATTAAAATAATAACTCTAACAGTCTTAAATATCAATAGTTCTATTGGTAGTATTTCAGGTGGTGTTCAAACTAGAAGATCAGTAGTTTCAGGCGTAAAATGAAGGTAAAAGGCCATAATCAAATCACATTACAGATTTCAGTAATACCAGTCTGCCAAGCAAGACAGAACAACCTCACACCTAGAAGACAGCATACACCTGTACTCTTCCCTGCTGCTCTGTTTATCTACCGAAAATCCAAAAAGCAAAGTATGCAACGCAGAATGGTAGGACATCGGGAGCTAAGTAAATTTCACTTACCAAAACTGATTCTACATGGATGTTTGACATGCATCCTCAGTTATATAAACGGGCAAATAAAGAACAAGAAGAATCATTATTTTTGCATGAGATAAATAAACAAAGAATAATAAGAATAATTTTTGCATTTCTACATTTGCTCTTACTTTTCAGACTTACCTGGTCTTTTTCATGGGGTAGAAGGCTGACAGGTGGAAGTGAAGCTGGGAAAGTGCTGGAGTACTTTGGAGCTCCTTTGCTTTCCAAACCACCATAATTCACTCTATACTGAGGTCCATCCTTCAGTAATCTCCCATTGTTCACAGCACGTTTGGCCCCCAGACGCAACCTCTGCTGAAAAGCAGGATTGTTAAAAATATTTGCTAGGTCATTTTGACTCCTCAAATACTTCTCTATGTTTTTCAGGGAGGAGCCATTTGGCTCGTGAAGCCCTTCAATTGCTCTTCTCAAGAGTTTATTCCAATCCACATTACGAAGCTCATTACAAGCTCCTCTAGATCCCTTAACAGATTTAGGAATAGTGCCAGGTTTAACAGATGAAAACCGTCCGGGATTATCTGGGTCCTTGTAGGATGCAAGGCCTTTGTTGGTAACCTTAAGAATAGAACCATCTTGAACACTAAGTTCCAACTGTTCCGAAACAGTCTTCTTATCTAATCCATGGGAAGCACAAACAGCATGACATATTCTCTCTTCAGAGGGCCTTTGCTTTTGCTTTTTAACTTTTTGTATAGCTTCAAGAATCCACTCCGTATAAAGAGGGTTGGCAAGTTTTACCATGGTTGACCAGTAATTGTTTCCAGCCAAGGGTTACCCATAGAGGTTCCTCCTTATCCTTTTAGCAGATCTTTCAGAGGTTGTTCACACCTCAAACACAAAGCAAATGATTCCACACACTGCTTGGATGCACCTCAAAAATATCCATCCTGAAGAGCTGGAAAAGGCAGGGAAGTATCCGCTGACTGAAACTTCCAGTTACTTTACCGTTATGGAAAGGTAGAAAGGATTATTTCGTGACGATACTGGTACAACCTTACAGGAAAAGTTTGTTGCAACCTTAAAAGAAAAAAGAATAGGCAGGGAAAGAATACAGTTAATGCTGAAGTAGTAAAAAGAAACAGAATGCATTCTGACATGCATTCATACTGTAAATGCTACAGTATGCAAAAATTGTTGTGATATATTATATGAAGTGTTCACCAATTCCCACCCCACACCAAATAAGTCATCTTTAAATCCTTCCACTTCTCATAACATTCTGTGGAATTTAGTTTTCCTAAATTCCATCACCTCAACACTTAACCCACTACTGACTTGCTGGACAATTTCCATTCAGCCAGAGTTCTGAAAATATTCTCTAAAACAAACTGCCTACATATCATTTCTAGATCCACTGGTATAAGAAAATTACTATGTGCATGAATTATACATGCACTAAAACAAAAACAATCAAAAAGATTCCCCAACCAATGAAAGTCAGATTATTAACCACTGCCATTTCTTACAGTACACTGTCTGTAAGTGCCATGCCATATGTTGATTATACAACTCAGAAAAATAAAAAAAAAAAAGTATCAGAACTGAGTTACTAGTATTATACACTTCATGAATACCTAGGTACCCTACAATACAGAAAGGAATCACAAAGGCACTTCTCATTCTAAGGTGTGCAGTAGAGACGCATGCATTTTTTATATAAACTCTTCAGAACAGAAATGAAAATGAAGCAACAGGAGGCATTTTCACAGAAATACGCTGTCCGCATGAAAACATATAAAGAGATCACATTGACAAAATATGTTTCAGTGACTCACAGTTTAACAAACAATTTTCTTTACTTATTATTCTCCAATAGAAAATTCAGTAGCTACAAGAACTTATGTAAGAAGCCTTAAAGAACATCTTGATCAGGAGTTTAGTCATTTTGCAGGACAATATATGAAAAAAAGTAAAAATGAGAAAAGCCACATAAATTAAACTAAGACAGTAGTCACCTAATGAATAAACAAACATATTTAAGGTATTAGTTTTTTCTGCCATGAAATGCAAGGAAGAACTTCTGAAGGCATTAACAGAATTGTATAATTACTTCAAATCAAAGGAAAATATATAAAAATCAGAAGAGGAAAATCTTCATTCTCAATAAATAGGTTGTGTTGTAAAGTAGAAGACTCATCAGTTTCACAGTAAAATCTAAAATTGAGTTAATTTAAAACTACATTTATGAAGCTATGGCAAGCAGCCTATAACTAACAATAATATCTATTATTACACAAGTCTTGGACCTCATTTTTATTCATTTATTCAAGTCATCTTGCATTTCAATCATGTTTAAAACTTGAGTAAATTATAAATAGGAAAAAACCTGAATTGATGCAGTAATCTACATTATTTTCAACTTGTTAAAAAGATTCCTCTGCAACTGTGAAGAGAATGAGTACAAAACCCACTTTTGGTCTCATACCTTCCCCTCTCTCTACCCTCTCAAAAGTATCTTTATATTTAAAGACCAGATCATGTTTCACACATTATTATACCTATACAACAGGAATAGTAACAAAAGAGCAGCTGGTTGATTCGGAATATAAAATTATTCTATACCCAAATATTAGAAATATTAATCAATTCATTTTATGAATTTGTCATTCTTTAGGTTTGATTGAAGCTTAAGCATTTTCAGATTTATAAATATGACCATTCAACTGATTGCCAGAATGAAAAGACACATTCCTGATACAAATGCAGGGCCTGAATGTTTAATTGGCTCTCATACTGAATCCTAGTGATCTACACAGATTGGCTCCAGTTTCTCGCTTCCAGTCTATACTCATGCAAGTTATATTTGATAATAGTTCTGTGTATTTCAAGTATTTGTAATGAAACAGTAACTTGTTCTGTAAACAGACATTTTAATTTAATCCAGCTAGCAAAAGCCATTTTTAACAGCATTGTTTATATTCACTGTTTTCAGACAATTCCAAAGTAACACTGTGGCTGCAAAATGCAGACAAATATAAGGAGGCAAAAAGTTTCCGTGGTATTATGAATCCTACAAATTCTCTCACAACTCTGACACTGAAAATACAATAATACAACAAAGCAGAACTCTATATATAGTGCAGGCTCACTCACATGAGACTATTTTATATGTTCCGCCTATAGATTCCGAAGTTCTCTGTAGATACATACAAAGCCCCAGATTCCTAGAAAGCTACTTTTAAGTTTAAAAGTTATTTAGTTAGGCTGTTCTACTATGAGTCTTCAGGAAGACAGTATTTAATTAAATGTTGAACACGGCATTTGCTGAGTCAGATGAACTTGCCTCATTTTTAAGCCTATTGCAGTACTGTTGTATTAAATTTCTTACAAGCAACCACATCACTTCCATTAAATTCCAGAATACACAGCGCAGGGTCTGTTCCAAGCACCTGGACACCACTGAACATTTCAGTACAAATCATATAACTTGCAGGTTACAGGAATTTTTATTTTTATTGGCCAGTGACTGTGGCAAAAGGTGAGCATAAACCTGTATCTTCATGTAAAGTCTGCTGCTTGGTACAGGAATTTCACAGTAATATACATTCAGAACTACATTTTTACTTCTTTATGTAAAACTCTCTATGTGTAACACAACCTCCTGCATACTAGCGCCTACTAAATCAACACTAGTTGAGTGTATCAGCTGGAGCATAGAGTTTCCAACACACAGGACAGGATATTTCAAGAGGAAAACAAAGACATCTTAAACTCACATCTTCCAATAGAATCTAAGTTCATTCTGCTTTAGGAAACCATGCAAAGCTCATTCGATCTAAGTTTAGGAAGTGTAAACACAACCTAGAGTCTCTGTTATTCTGCCACTTTGACTGTGTATGTAATTGAAAGTGTAGCACCCCGACCTCTACAAACTATACGACAAGGTTTACCATACATAAGATTTAGAATAACCTCTTACTAACAAACATCTTTGCCAGCAATATCAATTTAGCTTAGTGATCCTGGAGCTGTAAGTTAAAGAGAACTTTCATAAATCAAGTTAAGACAGACTGATCCAAGATTGGCAATACAGAGATATATACATATACATGCTGAGTGACTGGATAAAGACAAAACAAACTGCTTTAGAAACAAACTTTCCAGATTCCACATAAGAGGGGACACAGTTCAAAATGGCATTCAGGTTTCTAAGTTTAGAACTTAATCTCACCAAAATCACAAAAAGGTGGTCATACATCATTTAATACAAAAAGCATGGTGCTTACCAAAACAGATTTTGAGAAAATACCAATTTTTAAGACTGATTATAAATTAGTAGCAAGCATTCATGTCTATTTATTAGTTTTCCTCCCCTCATAATTAAATAACTTCTAATCAAACCCTCAACACTACCCATCCAATCACAGATTAGATTTTCCGGACTGTTAGGTGCACAGGACCACTTCCAAGTTTTACAGCAACAGACATTAAGCTCTTTCTGTGTCGTATTTCAACCTCTACACTCTACAGTATCTTATTTTGAAAATAAAAACATTTGAGAAAGTCTGATTGCACTTTATTACTGACCAAGTCTGTTAACAAGTCTGCTACTGAAGAGCTGCAGAACATAAGCATTCGGAGGCTTAAGTACAATACATTACCTTGAAAACATGAAAAGCTGTCTCTAGTCAAGGCTTGCCCCTTTACTCAAGTCATAAATTATCAGATAAATACAAAGAAGTTGCAAAATTGCAGCTTGGGATTTAGAATGAATGCAAATATGTCCTTTATAAAGCGCACACACCTATCATACTGCTGATTCTAATTAAAGAATACACTGACTGAACATTTCAATCTTAAGTGTCATTAGTGATCCTATAATCCTGTAATAAGGTCCTTTTTAGACTGAACTAGTACCTGGAATTATCTCCAAGTGATCTAGATTGTGAAAAAAAGTTGCGCAGTCAGAAAGACATGGGGAAAAAAAAAAAATAAAGAAAAAAAATTAGCTATGCTTCCCCCCCTCCCGCCAAGGAACAAAACTAAAATTTATTAGACAAGTATCCAAAAGCATCTTACAAAATACAATCTAAAATCTTCTCCTGGAGAAATTAATGAAAGTTTGCTTTGACTGTCTTAAATGTAAATGAAGTTAAACTTTTAGAAACTGAGGTTAACACAGCTACCAAAAAAATAAACAGAAA